AGGCTGAACTACGTGACCTCTGAACTCCCTTCTAGCTTTAGATCTAAATTATTACTTTAAGGCTTATAAATCCTTTGTGTAAAGCAATGTGTAGCTTCCTTTGTTTCTTTCTAAGACTATCTCTTGTTATATAGTATTTTGTCCTTCCATTCTCCATAAAAAAAGAACTTGGAACTGAGAAAGCATATTACACAGAGAAACATAAATCCAGCATTCTTACCAACAATAAATTCTACATTTGGCTGCTTGACAAGAAACAAACAGAAATAATTGAAAAGCAGCCTGCTGTAGTGTAAAGAACACTGGAATGAGACACAAAGGACCTAGGTTGGAGTCTCTGATCTGAGACTTCCTAGCTGATTGACACTTAACCCCTGGCTCCATTCCCCCCCCCCCCCATGTTTTTGTGCAGCCTCAAGATTTCATAGGTGAGTTAATCTGCTCAGAGCAAGGCCTCCTCCTTAAGGCTGAGCTTTCTGGATTGATGAATGAGGGCAAAGTTGTCTAACCCAGTATTATGTGGCCAGTCCCAGACCAGGCTTCATGTCCACCCACCCTGGACATCCTGCCATCTGCCCTGTCCTTCTTCCCCTTTCTACTTCTTAATGTGGAAGGAGAACAAATACAAGAGGAATAGAAGACTTGGTTCCCGTCCTTAATGAGGTTATAATCTTCTTAGGGAATAGACTGGCCCACCGAGGCTGTGAGAGAACAAAGAAGTATATATTAGAGTGTTAAGCAGAATAATAGAAAATAAAACGTTAAGCAGCAGGGCAGAGGGATAACAGCAGTTCCAAGAAAGGAAAAGTCAAGGTCGGCTGTGGAATTGTCTCTTCACAGAGATGTCAGGACTTGAACTGAGCCTGGGAGGATGAGTTTGTTTGGGAGAATGGGCAAGACACTTCAGGCAGGGAGAAGAAAGGCCCAAATGATCATGATGTATGAGAATGAGACTAGCCTAGCTGGGGACACATGTGGAAGGTCAGTGGCAGACTGCACGGGACAGGTAAAACAGGACCTGATCATGAGGGCCCTGAAGGTCAGCACAAATCATTTAGACTAGAGGCAGTAGGAAATAGCCATTGAAGGTTCTTGAACAAAGAGAAAAATACAATAGCCTGGCCCTAGCCATTCATGCTGATTCACTGACAGATTCATTCAATGCAGCTTTGGGATGGTGCTTGCTTATGAAAAAACATATCTGTAGGGAAAAAAAAAATTAGGGCTAAGTAGACCAACGCATACCATAGGTATGTTTAAAGCCTTGAGACTTTCTGCCTGTGTTTGAAAACTGATCTTTCCTGTGGTCCTTCTGAATATGGTGCATCAATTGATTTATAGCACTATGTGAGATAGCGGTGGCTTAAGCTTTCCTTGAGTAGGGTTCACCAAGGCCATAGAACACCCGTTATTTTTACAGTTATCATGGAACACTGATAAATGAGGTGGGAGGTTTGGTAGATGTTCTCTGGCTTTGAAGTATAGAAGTGAGGCCAAAATGGAGAGACAATTTTACAGGGAAAAGTAGATTACAAGCTGTAGCATGCTGGACAAGTCATTTACTCCCCCCATGCCCCAGATTCCTCATCTGTAGAAGGATAGGGTACACTCAATGGCCTCTAAGGTCCCGTCCAATTCTGGGATTCTCTGGCCTGAAAGCACCACCAAAAACACTGCAAGGCCTGGCCCCTGAAAAAGGACAAGCGACCTCAAAGTCCCATGGCCTAGAAAGATTTTCAAGTATTTCAAGACTTTTCTTGTCCAAGGATTTTCTTCAGATGGCAAATTCAACCTACTAACTCAGAGAAAAAACCCTACTAAGAGTTAGGAAAGGTGGCCCCAAATCTGAAGGTTTTAAGTCATTGATTGGCCCACCATTACTCTTATCATTAGATTGATTGGCATATCACTGTGCCTCTAGGTAGGGCTGAAGTTACTACAAGGAAATTGCATACTCAAGAAGGAGGGCTATATAAATTCACTGATGGTTAAGTGGGTCACTAAATTTGCAAAATAAGATTTGATTAACTGCTCCTTTGTAGAAAAAAGACCATGAGATTTTTCCTGGTCCCCTTCTCCTCCCCCTAATTCTCAGTCTCTGACTCTCTCCAGTACCTAGCATAGAGCTTGGCACACAGTACATTAATAAATGCTGGTTTATTGACAAAACACCAGAGCCAAATCAATGGTGTGGAATAGCCCTAACATAATTTACTTGATACCTTGTCAAATTTATGATCAAACCAAAATGTGTTGGAAAAAACAGACGCATAAATACCGGTAATTGATATAGCTGATGTAGATTCTATAGTACAATTCCTTTTTGTGTCCACGTGATTTCAATTTTTAAAACTGTTGTCATTAAAATATGGACATGGACATTATTAGTTCTAATACTGTTTGAATCACTGTATGGTCACGACTGCTCTGAAAAAGAATTGAATTTATTTTGTGGAATATTCAGGAGACATTTTAGAAAAGAAAAATAAGACTTAAGTTTTCTCTAATGTATACAAAGCATTTTAAATTAATTCCACATTTTCAATTTTTTTTTATCAGAGTTCTGTTTGGAATTCCTATTTGAAATTCCAATGGGAAACATACGAGTTTGTCCCCAGGGTGGGAAAAAACCCAATAACAAAGCAAACATGTAAAGTATTTGATATAGTCTAACTTTGCCTTGTTTAATGTGAAATGTTCTTCTATTGTTTGGAAGACTTTATCATTTGTAATGTTTGTAAATTGCAAAATAACAAATGTAGATTTTGATCATCATTTTCATTATGTCAATCATGTTTTTGGTCTGAATCAATGATTGCATTGGTTTAGAGAATTCTCAGTGTTTAGAGAATTGTTTCACTAACACACCTTGGCAATTCATTTTAGGAACTGGACCAAAACACTAAGAGTTTAGACCACACAGCTAGTGAGTGCCAGAGACAGAACCTAGATCCAGGTCCTTCTAATTCCATTATTTACTTCTTCACGTTGCCTCCCATCATTATGACAGGGGTTTAATCTCCCAACAATATCAGCATATCCATTGTTAACTAAATAAAATTGATCACATATTTAACAGATCAAACTTGCCACTTAAAGTAATGTTTTATGGAGGGTCTAGATTATACAGTCCTATTTATTATTATGTTCCTATCCACAATGAAATGAAGAAAAATATGAAAGACAAAGACCTGGATTCAAAACCCGTTTCTGTCACTACTTGTTTGGCCTTAGGTAGCAATGATGTAAATGATAAAACTTTGGACTTCAAGTCAGGAAGACCTTCATTCAAATCTCTCCTCAGACACCTGTTAACTGTGTCACTCAAGGCAAATAATCTCTTCACTTCTCTGGACTTCATTTTTCTCCTCTATTAAAGAGGGAATTGAACTAGACAGCCTTTGAGGTCTCTTTGAACTCTAAATATATGATTCTATGACAGTGACCCAATAGTAGGGTTTTTAATTTTGTTTAGGACGAAGAAGTGGCACTTTGGTCTGAGTAATGTGATGATAAACCACAAAGCCAGAGGTCTGAACGTGAATCACTCCACCTATCGTCAGCCAGAGAGGTAATGGACTAAAAATCCAGAATGGGACGTGCAATTTTGGACAAGGTCAATGTGGGAATTTGTTTTGCTGGACAATATATACTTACTGTGAGTGGGTTTTCTTACTATTCTATGGGGGTGAGGTGAGGCAGTAAAAAGGAGGGATAATGCTTGTAAAAAGAAAAGAAATGAAAAAAATTTTGTAAAAATCTCACGAGTCAAGCCCTTCATGTACGATCATAATTACTCTTAAAAAATTGAATTTAAATGTTATTTTGAATTTTCTTGTAGTCATTTAGAGAAAAATTGTCTTAGATTTTTGACCTGTGGTTGACACAAATAAAAATTACAGTCTCCTTTTTCTCTTAGCATGTTCAGGGTGAAAGAACAGAGAATCAAATCTTTTCTGGCGTGTGTCAGTACTAATAGTGTCTACATTGGTAAGAGGATAAGCTATTTCAAATCCTTTATGCAGTTAACACAATTACAGAAGGATCTGTGAATTTTTCAGTGTGGGAATTCACTCTATTAAAGCAGATCACAAGTTGCCCATGGCTTATCTCTTTCATGGAGTTGTTTGAGCCATCCAGATGTTATGTGACTTTCCCAGAGTCAAGTAGTATCAGGGGCAAAATCTGAATCCAGATCTTTCTGACTTTAATCTAAGCATTCTTATCATATTCCAAGCTGCCTCTATGAAGTTTAATAAATTTAAATGTAAAACCTTCTACCTAGGGGCAGCTAGGTGGTGCAGTAGATAGAGCCTTGGAGTCAGGAGGACCTGAGTTCAAATTCGACCCTCAGACACTTGACACTTACTAGCTGTGTGACTCTGGGCAAGTCACTTAACCCTGATCACCTCACCAAAAAGCCAAAAAAAAAAAAAAATTAAAACCTTCTGCCTTCCTCAAATGACTGTAGCTTTAAGGGCACCAAACTGATCCATATTTTGGGAGATAAATAAATGATAAAGTAAGTCCTCTGCCTAGTCTACTAATACTGTGCAATCAGGTCAACACAGCCACAACATTATAATAATTGCAATAAACCTGATTCTTTCCCTGAATTATTCAGACAATTGAGGAGAAAAAAAAATGTGTCTCTTTTCCTGAAAATTCATTAGGTCTTCAAAAGGCACTCCTTTTTGTACAACATATACTCAGCAATCAAATTAACATTTCAATTAATATTGGGGACTTTGAAACATTTATTTTATGAAAGACTGTGCTTTCAAAGATACTTTCCAAAAACATCAATGTTAACACTAACTAGGAGAGAACCAGGATGTTTTTTTTCCCCTTTCAAAATAAAACTTCTCCATCATAAAGCACCAGCGGATAGCTCTTAACATAAACAGAGGGGAATGGCCAAGAGATAATGGAGATAATGGAGATCACGACTGTGGAATCACAGATAAATAAGTAATAGTTTAATCTACATTGCTCCTTACCTTAAATACATTGATAGGGATATCAATGACAATATAGATTAGGTCTCCCAAGGCCAAGCTGGCTATCAGTGCATTAGGGCCATTCCTCATGCATTTGTTCTGGTAAATGATCCTCAGCAGAGTCGCATTCCCCACCATTCCAACGATGAAAATAGCACAAGATATCACTGTGTTGATGTACTTGAAAGCTGAAGTGATTTTAGTCTTCTGAGGGCAGTAGTTACGCATGGAGCCGTTGCTTGGCAGGACCAAGGAAGTAGGGCGGTGGGTAGTGAAGGGGAGGCTGGGCTCTGTCCCACGAAATGTGGTCAAGTCATCCATGGGGTCACTCAGATTTGTGTGATAACTTTCAGGATTGTCACTGACCACACACCCAGCCAATAGGAGCCAAAAGGAGGCCCTGAGATAAAAGGTTTCCATCTTGAAATCAAGCAGAAGTGTTCTATCTTTCACAAGACTAGTCTTGTGCAGTCACTTTTTTCACCTGGATGGAGAAAGAAAAAGACACTTGATTTTAAAATCAAACCCCCATTATCAAAGGTCTGAGAGAATCTTTTCTAGCTAGGTAAGGCATTTCAATATCAGACTACCCTAACCATTTGACAAAATATCTAAAGAAAAATCCAATAGAAAAGACCCCTGCTTCTGACAACCAAGTAGTATGGCCAGATTTCTGGAGTCAAGAAGACACGTAAGTTCAAATCCAGTCACTTAACTAGCTACATAATTCATTTCAAGTCATTTAACCTTTCTCAGCCTCAGTTTCCTCATCAGTAAAATGGGGATCGTACTAAAACCTACCTCACAGAGTTATTACAAGGGCCAAATAAGATAACAGATGTAAAGCACTTTACAAATCTTAAAGTGCTTTGTAAATGTTGTTATTGTTTTTATTATTAATTGTTATACAATAACATGGTGCTGAGGAAAGAGTACTGAACCATATGTGTGACCTTGGGCAAGTCACTTCTCAGGGTCTGAGTTTCCTCATCTTTAAAAAGTGGGGTTGGTCTAGATCACTGTAAGGTCCTTTCCAACTCTCAATCTATCTTGATGTTATAATCCTCAATGATATAGGCTAGTACTTGTCAGCACATGTTACAAAGCCCTTACTTCACAGAGAGGACTTGTTGCTAAGTTAGGGCATGTAAGAAAATGAATTTTTAAGGATGATGATAGAAGAAAGGCTATTTGTTAATGAATAATGGTCATACAATCAGCAAACTTCTAAAAAAGTAATCAGAATTGAACTTAAGATATAGATTATGAAATTGCAATGAAATGGTCAGATTCCTTAAAAGTAAGCTCAGTTTTATAAAAATTTCTTTTTTATCCCTGTAGTAGCACATTTTTACCTTGATAAAATTTTTTAAAATTCTGATTGGGTTCAGCTCAAGTGCCACACTTAAAAAAGATTTTTCTTCATCTCCCCAGTTATTTGTCCTCTCTCATTTAAAAAAAATTACTTCTGTTTTATTTATAAGATTATACATTTAGAGCTGAAAGGGACTTTTAAAATTTTTATTTTTTATTATATTTCCATTTAACAAGCATTTATTCTCTCTTGTGCCCATCTACCACCCCATTTCATAATTAAAAAAAGAAAAAAGAAAACTGAAAACTCTTCCAACAAATTTGCCTAGCCAAGCAGAGCAAATTTTCCCATTGGTTTTGCCCAAAAATGTATTTTTCATTTTAAGACCGTCAATTCTCTGACAAAAGGGGTAGGTAGTATGCTTCATTTTTGGTCCTCCGGAATTGTGGCTTGTCATTGAATTGATAAGAGTTTTAAAATCTGAAAGGGACTACAGAGGCCTATAGAGGCTTTTATTTTACAGTTGAGGAAACTGAGGCTCAAAGAAGTTAAATAATTTGCCCAAGGTCACATAAGTCATAAATGGATTTGAATCCAGATCCTTTGACTGAATTAAATGCTCTTTCCAATACACTATATTGCCTGTCTGTGTTTATGTTGTTTTTTCTCTAGTAAAATATGTGGAAGGGACTACGTGATTTTTTATCCACCTATCATAGAGTCTAATTGAATATGATCTAAAGGAGCACCTGGGTAATGATTTCACTCCTTTATCCAACTGTGCTTATGAGTCTTGATTCATGTATCCTTAATAAATGCTCAGACCCAAGAGTTTGGTACAAGATGAATGCCCATCATAGCTTCTGTACCTTACAATGTAAAATATGTGAGGTTTTTTTCCAATGAAGTCTATGAGAAGCAAACATTTCTGAGGTGTTGAGCAGCTGTAAGACCCAAGGAAAAGCTGCATGGTGCTTCAGCTCAAAAAGAAGGGGGCAGGAAAGACTGACTTTGCCCTACTAAAGCTTCTTAGTTTGACCACTGCAGGTGAACCCTGTGTGCTAACTTTCTAAAAAGAGATGCAGTTTCTGAGAAGTGGAATGGGCTGCTTGCCCATGACCACCTTCTAAGAGGATCACAGTTAACATTGCCTGACACTATCATTTCTTTCATCAGAGCTGCTCCAGAGGCTTTGAACATCACCATTTTGCACTGATTAGCTTTGGCTGATTACAGCAGGGTGCTAATGAGGCCGAGGTTTGTGGGTTCTTATCCTGGGATCAGTCCAACTTCACATATCACCCTCTCTCTCTCCTCCTCCTCCAATTTATAACCAAATACTGCCCCTACGAATCACTATTTCTCTGCCAGGTCACTCATAAACACACGAAGCTAGTTCAAGGCAACATAGTGGGTTGGGTTCCATGAAACCAATCCTTGCTTGCTCCAGAAAATCCTCTACTCAGTCAATTCAAGTGGCTTCCTTTTGCCTCTAGGATAAAATATAAACTCTTCTGTTTAGACTTTCAAAACCTGGCCTCTTTGAACTATCCAGCTCACATCTGACACTCCCATCTCCCGTTTTCAGGCCTTTCTACTATCAATGTACTCCTGGTCTTTGCCTGATAAAGCCCTTCAAGCTCCATCTTTCTTGATCTCCTCAACTCCTTCCCTTCCAAACTACCTTGAATTTAAGTACTATGCACATATTTGTATTTTAGATACATATATACATTATATATATATACACATACATATGTATACACACATAAAATGTTCTTGTCTTACCCATTATAATATAAGCTGTTGAGTTCTTTGCATAGTATCTGGTATAGTATAGTAGGTGCTTAACAAGTATTTATTGATTGATGAATTGAGGTTGGGTCTGTGGCTTATCTTGTGCTTAGAAGATGGTATATGATTTATAAATCAGTTCAACAAGCATTTATTAAATGTCCATGTGATGGCCTTTGGGAATACAAAGACAAAAAAAAGTGCTGGCCCTCAGGGGGTTTACATTCTCCTGGAGTGAGGCATTAAAGCAGTAACAAAATTCTCCCTGCCTCTATTAAGACAACTCCAGGTTTCCACTGGCAGTCTGGGACAAAAATGTTAACAGGATCAGTACATCTTTTTTCTCTCAGAATCATAAGATCTCAAAGTTGAAAGGGGACTCAGAGGCCATCTCATCTGACCATGAACATCCTGAACAAATGATCATGCAATCTCTGCTTGAAGTTCTTGAGGAGGAAGAGGGAGAACCCAGGAAGTGCCTCCTTACAACCAAGCTTAAATATACTTTTATTCAACTTCTCTGCATTGTTTAAGTTTTATCCTTCAGAACCAATCAGAACAGGACTAACCCCTCTTCCATATTGGGAACACCAGGGTTAGAAGTTTGTGCCCAGTTATAGGATCATAGATTTAGAGGTGGAAGGGACTTTAGAAATTGTCTGATTCAACGCCCTCATTTTGTAGGTAAAAAATCTGAGACCCAGAGAAGTAAGTTTCAGATGGGAGCCCAAGTCCAGAGCTCTTTCCACTGGGCCAAATAGAATCTTCATGCTCTGAGACTTCAATTATAAAAGAAACATCTTTGTTTCTCAGCAACTACAATCCCCTCTAATTAGCAATTTGGAAACCCCCCCCCTTTACAAAAAAGGCAAGGTTTCTCCTGAGAAATTAAAGTGAAGGTGGTTGGTGTTATTTGATTGACACCTTAAAATGAAAGGGGATGGATAGAGAGGAATTTTTTTTTTATATTAACTCAACCCCATGGGGGAAAAATCCAAAACAAACAAACAAACTTTCAGAAAATTTGAAAATTCTAACTGGTTGGATATCAGGGCTTTCTCTGGAAGGAAACTGGGAAGGAAGGACTTTAGGGAGAAGAGTGAAATTGGTTACTGCCATGTGTGAATTTCTGAGCAAACCCAATGGATGATCAGGGCATGTGCTTACTTCTTCTGCTAGACTGAGTGAAAGTAATTGGAGCCCAGAGAAGCTAGGTCTCTTGAAAAAAGGCTGCATCTCTGTAAAGTCCACATATCTCTTAAATTCAGTTCCGCAGTGAACACAAGAACAAAACGCCTGAGACTTCAGTAGGAGGCACGCCTGTTCAGAGCCAGACGGGTTCCCAGGCAGGGCTATATTCCCAAAAGCGCAGCCCTGGAGTTTGTAAAACACTCTCCTTACCAACCCTCTTAGATCAGGCACCTCCTACCGTTCCACCAAACCTCTACTGGAGAGAATGGGGGCAGGGGGGTAAGAAGATACAGCGAAATCTATTCAGATCAGTGTGTTCAAGCAGGAAGGGGGATAATACGGCTTTATGGTAACTCTTAAGTAAAGATGATGGAGAAAAAGTTCCAGTGAAAAGACAAAAGAGAATGAACCTTGGCTTTCCAAACGATGATTAAAAGTTGAACACCCTTCTCCCCCTCCTCCCAATCTTCAGTAGCTTTTGATCAATATCACCTTCCATTGACAGCAATATCCCTCAGAATCAATATCAGCTGGGCTAATTTGCATTGAGTTCATCCCTCCGCTCCCCAGACAGGACTGGTTTCACTCTGCAGGTATTTGGGTCAGCCTCCAACAGGAGGTTTTTTATCAAACTAAGTGGCTTTGAAAGTAGACGCTGCATGGACCCCCACCCCCACTCCTATCCTTTATCTCTCTCCTTCCCCACCCCCTATAAGGCTGGCTGTCCAAGCGTCTCTCTATCTCCCCTCCCCTTCTAGGTCGGAGTCCCCAAAAGCATAAGAGTTTCAAATACCCTGGAGGTCCGCGCCGGGCTCGTTTTCCGGGCACTGGCAGCTGCCCGAGTCCCCGTTTCAGGCATGAGATTCACGAAACCCAACAAAGTCAAGGCGAGCAGGGATGTCCTTCCAGGCGCGGGCTCCAGGACAGAGGCAGCAGCGGCAGAAGCGGCAGAGAAGAAGTGGCTGCAGTCTCTAGTCCTTTCAGTTGCTGCTGCTGCCGCTGCCGCAGCTTCTGCAAACTTCCTCAGTGTGGCTTTTTGGGGGAGGTCTTCCAAATTCTCCCGTCTCAGTCTGGCTGAGTGGAAATGAGATTCTCCACCTCTGCTGGTCACCGAGAGAAAAGGGATGAGTGTGTGGGAGCGAAATCATGGGAGAAAATGAAAACTCCAAAGCAACACCCTCCTCCCTCCCCCCACTCCCCCCAAAGACTTCCCTCCTCCACCTCCACTCCATAAAAACAAGACCAACCCCAAACCTCCAGCCCCAAGGAGGCTGCCTATATTAAACACTAGCATGTGCCTCCCAGGCACTGGAGTACTCAGAGTTCTTTTAACCATTTCCTCTCTGAAATGGTGCCTAGGAATGAACACTGAAAGTAGAACCCGGGTTTGATTTTTCAGCTCTGCTGCTGACTTCCTGTGTGGTCTTGAACAAGCCTCTTTCTCTTTCTGGGCCTCAGTTTCCTCATCTGTAAAGTGATGGGGTTGGATTAGATGGCCTCTAAGATCTCTTCCAAATCTAAATCTCATGATCCCAGGGGCCCTTGAATGGAAGAGATTATTAACCAGAGGCAACAGTTACGCAAAGGAGAGATCGCTGGATTAGGAATCAGAAGACCTGGTTTCTAGTCCCTGTTCTGCCGCTTACTACCAGAGTGACCTGGAGCCAATCACACAACCTCTCTGGGTCCTGTTTTCTTCAATTTCAAATCAACAGGCCTGGACTAGTTGATCTCTAGTTTTTCAAGTTCCAACATTCTGTGAGGTAGGTCTTATTGCTCAACAATGTCCTTCAAAGACACCCAACCCCTTTAACCATACCTTCAGATAGGGTTGAAGTTTCACTACCAGACCTGAAGGAGAAGAAACAGTGACCACCAGCAATTCATGTTCCTTACAAACCACAGCCTTTTAACCATGAACCAGTTAGCTCATTAGAATTAAGTCAAGGTTGCCACAAACCTTAGCTTTGTTACCCAGGCACACCTACGTGTTCTCCTAATGTCATCATAGAGTTGTTCCTAGGTATATTTTGTGAGAGAGCATAGGGGGCTCAATTCAACCCATAACCACTTTGGGAAGAACCATTCAAGGTCTCCAGTAGTCAGTAGCATTTATCGTAAGGTCCTGCTACTCCTTTAGGCAGCTAAAGTGGTCAGAAGGATGGAAGGGGGTGGGGAGAGGAGAGAGGAGTTATGGAATGGGGAAGCCAGCTTATAAAGACAGATTGAAAGTGGAGATGACTGCTATCTGCAAAATTGTTGTTTTTCAGTCATGTCCAATTCTTTGTGACCCTATTTGGGGTTTTCTTGGCAGAGATACTAGAGTGATTTGCCATTTCCTACTTTAGCTCGTTTGACAGATGTGGAATTGAGGCAAACAGGATTAAGTGACTTGCCCAAGGCCACAAGCCCAGTAAATGTTAGGGGTCAGATTTGAACTCATAAAGAGGAGTCTTCCTGACTCCGGGCCCAGCACTCTATCCACTGTGCCACCTAGCTGCCTGTCTACAAAATTAGCAATTACCTTTGATTGTACAGTAAGATGGCAATATAAATTGTTTCTACTAGTGACCCTTCTTATTGAAGGACTGCAAATGGAGAGAGAGGGACAAAGCATTTCTATCACTTAGGCTTTCTGTCTCTCTTGATCCCTTTTTTTTTGTACCACCTACATGACCATGAATAGATCACTTGACCTGATCTAGGCCTCCTTTCCTCATCTGTAAGTCAAACGGTTTGGAGAGAATGATGTCTAAGGTTTTTTCCTAGGTCTTATGAAGCCGTGACCCAGTATAGTAACTCCCAGGTTCCAGGTTCCAGGTTCCTCTGCTGCCTGCTCCTTTTATATTAATGGCAGAGTGAGCAATATGAACTTTTCTTCCTCCTTCTTCCCTCTGTTGCCTCCCTGCCTAATCTAAGGAAAGAGAAAGATTAGGTCCATCTTTTATGACTTCCAGATTTATTTGTGTGTTGGAGAGAGTCCTAGCCTGGCACCCTTAGTATTACTGATAGTAGCTAGATGGCACAGTGGATAGAGCTCAGCAGGGACTTGGAGTCAGGAAGACCTGAGTATGAATCTTACCTCAGACTGGCTGTGTGACCTTGGGCAAGATACTTAACCTTTTCCTCAGTTTCCTCATCTATAAAATGAGGATAATACTAATAACTACCACACAGGGGTTGTCATGAGGATCACATAAATTAAAATATGCAAAGTGTTTTGTAAACTTTAAATGCTATTCTATAAATGCTAGTTAGTTATTGTCATTACTGCTACTAGAACCATGGCAATCAACTCTAGAAAAAGGCTCCCTCCTCCTGCCCTTAACCTGGGAATCATAAGCATGGAACCCCAAACCCCCTTCATTCCTGCCAGTTAAAATCCAACCCCCTTTCAAGGCTCAGCCCAAATGCCTACCTCCTTCCAATTGCCTCTCGGGTAAAATATAAACTCCTACTTAGCTTTTAAAGCCTTATGTGCTTTGGCTCCAGTCTATCTTTCCTGCCTTGCTGAACTTTACTCCGCTTCCTGCACTCTGCCATTCAGGTCAAGTGGTCTTCCCTTTGCTCCTCCCACATCCCGGCGCATCTCCCATCTCCAAGTCTTGGCAATGGCAATTTCCTATGCCTAAAATAAGCCCCCTCTTCACCTCTGCCTATAGAATCCTTCTCTTCCTTCAAGGTGCAGCTCAAACACCACCTTCAAAAGGAAACCTTTCCTGATTCCCCAATGCTAGTGCCCTCCCTCTCAAACTACTTTGTATTAATTTGTATTTATTCTAAATATAATTCTACAAGTACTTGTTATCTTCATCTTAGAAGGTAAGCTCCTTCCAATTAGGGATTATTTCATTCTTTGTACTTGGATGCTGAGCACCTAGTACAAGGTCTGGGGCACAGCCGGGGCTTAATCAATGCTTGATTGAAGCCTTCGCCAGTCTCCCCACACTCAGTGGTCCCTCTTCTTCCTCAGACCTCATGTAACATTTTGTACTTGTTTGTTTAATTGTCAGCATTTATAAGAGCAAAGGCAATGTAGGATGTTTGTGGGTTGGGGAGTAGTCCAGTTTGATTGTAGCACAGAGTGTGATCAGTGTGGGGTGTTGTGTGAAATAAGACCAGAACTTTGAACTGGTGCCAGATTGTGGAAGGGCCCTAAAGCCTGGGTAAGAAGTTCGTATTTGATTTGTTCGGCCATAGTGAGTCATTAAAAAGTTTTGAGAAGAGGCATGCATGATATGTACAATGTGGTTGACATAACCTCTTCAATTAACCAGTGTAGTTGGGGAGAGCTAAATGAAGGAGAAAGAATTTTTTTTGTTAATAGAGTTTAACCAGCTCATTTATGTAGCAGCATTGTAAAGGCAAGAAGGCTTCTTTAAGTAGGATAAGTAGGGACCTGAACCTTAGGATCTCACTTTCACAATTGCACAATTGTATCAGTTAATCTCTCAATTATTTATCTTTAGAAATGCAGCACTTTTTCAACCACAGATCTCTAGTCTAGTAGCCAGACTATTAGTCTCAGCAAAAGAGATTTTGTAAAAATCTACCTAGCCCTAGGCCAAGTTTTAAGGAGGTGAGATTTTTCTTCAGTGGTCTCAGCCTCCTCCCACTAATCTCTTTTTAGCTATTCTCAACCACCTGGGCCCCAAGTTCTTTTCCATGAGATTCTCTCCCTGCCTCCCACATACACTTCTCCCTTTTAACTTACCTCTAAGCTTACCTCCCAACTAAAATCCCACCTTCTACAAGAATCCTTTCCTAAGTCCCATTAATGATGGAGCCTTTCCTCTGTGATAATCTCTAATTTATCCTATCTGTATTTTGTTGTATGTAGTTGTTTGTATGTTATTTCCACCATTAGACTGTGACCTTCTTGAGAGCAGCTACAGTATTTTGTCTTTCATGGTGTCCGCAGTGTTTAGCACAGCTTCTGGTATATAGGTGCTTAATAAATGATTGTTGACTGAATGCATATGGAAGCAGACTATTTGATCTCCTTTTCTTTTGTTGTTTTGTTTTATTTCTTCTTTCTTGTGGTTCCTCCTGTTATTTCTAATTCTTTTGTACATCATGACTAATGTGAAAATATGCTTAATATGAATGTATAAGTAGAGCCTACATCAGATTACATGCCAACTTGGGGAGGAGAAAGGAGCGGGAGAGGGAGAAAATTTAAAACTCAAAATCTTATGGAAGTGAATGTTGGCAACTAAAAATAAATAAATTATTTAAAAAAATAAATGATTGTTGACTTAACTCTCAGTCCCAATTAAAACTTGTATTCAGGTAATGGGTGGCACTGATTAAGAAGAGGAAATGGGAAATAGAGACTGGATCTTTAACATCATTAGTTATTTAGTCATTCAATTGTTTGTCTGACTCTCGTGACTCCGTGGACCATTTAATACTGTCCACGGGGTTTTCTTGGCACTGGAAGTGCCACTGGATTGGTTTGCCATTGCCTTTTCCAGTGGATCACTTTTTGCCAGAACTCTCCACTATGATGTTTCCATCTTGGATAACTCTGGGGGCATAGCTCATAATTTCATTGAGCTACTCAACCCTCTCTGCCAGGACAAGGCAGTGAACCAGAAGGGGAAGATCACTGGTGTAAAAAGCAAATGAGCAACTTTCTCTGCAGTTTATACAGAGCACAGAGAGATTAAGTGACTTGATCTGGGTTCACAACCAGTATGTGTCAGAGGCAGAATCTGAACCCATGTTCTCTGGATTTCAGGCCAGCTACCCACTATATATACAAGGTTAACTCTCTTGTTGTTTTTCAATTGTTTTCAGTCGTGTCTGACTCTCTGTGACTCCATTTGGAATTTTCTCAGCAGAGATACTGCAGTGGCTTGCCATTTCCTTCTCCAACTCATTTTACAGATAAGGAAACTGAGGCAAACAGGATTAAGAGACTTGCTTAAGGTCACAGAACTCTTTCAGTAAGAATGTGGTATTTAAAAAAGGGTAATTATTATTCCATATGAGAATATTTTTCACTCTAAGAGGATCAAAGTCTAAATTCAAACAATAAACTGAAGCTTTGAAATTCATTCATTCGACAAACATTCAGTGCCTACTATGTGTAAACTTCTGTACTAGGTACTAGCATAGATGATAATAA